AGTCAATACACATTTCGTCGCAAATATTACTGCTGTTAGGAACTTCTCTGTGAACAGCGCGCTCAATATGAGGTGAGTCAAATACACCCGGTCTCAGGGACGTATTACTTTAGGGGTTCTAAGGGAAACAACTATAATTTACTATTAGAAAAAGAAATTATATATATATATATATATATATATTTACACACACACACACATAGATATAACCTACTTATTTCTTAGTGATAATTGCGAAATATATACTTTAGGGTTAAATTGAAATTGACGTCATTGGTCATTTGATTATATTTGGACCTTTCTCTATTTGTCTATCTATATTTCTTACTTTTCTTTTTTCGTATGTCTTCTATACGTTCGGTTCATTTGGTATTCTGCCAATTTTTCTAGAGTATTTTTTATTTTATCTATTCATTGTTATATTTATCCTCATGTTAATGAATCTATTAACATTTACGTTCACTTCGAAAATTATTCTTTCTTTCCTTTTCCTTTCGCATAAATATGTTTTCATTATGGAATAAAATTTATATATGTGCATTCTTATCTTTCAACCCTTCGACCTTTTTTATTAAATATTTGCACTTTGTGATCAGAAATGAAGGTGAAACTAGATCGAAATATTATTTGAATTATAACATATTGTAGCAAAAGAAAAAAAAAACAAAAGAAAATTTTAACGTAATGAAAAAATATAATTTCATTTCATTAATTTGAAATTTAATTATTCAACTAAATATTGTTGAGAAAGTGAAATGGTAGAGTATGTGCGTATGTGTATATATATATGTATATATATGCGTATATGTATACGTACATATATGTAAAAAAAAAAGAAGAAAAGGACAAAATGATTAGATTAGAAAGTTACATTCGTATAGTTTACTTGCAAAACACGTTTGAACATTGTAATGTCGAATGTATTTCTAGTTGCAAAATAAAAAAACATTTGAGAGTGAAACAGTTCAACAGCATAAATCATTCTTTTAATCTCGATTATAGATTAAAAATACATATATATGTATTTCGAAAGAATTTGGATGATCATTGTTTTCTGGATGTATCTTTCTGGAGATATATTTCTTTTTGTTTCTCTTTTTTTATTTTCTTTTTTTTCAATTATTCGTCGATTCTTTATAGGTAACTATTTCACGATATATTTACGTAAAACGATAATTTCATCCAATGTCAGGAAAAATAATTGCTGATATTGCATAAATATGATTATTCCTTCTTTTTTGTAGTTAACTATACTGTTATGAAAACTGTCAACGACGTAATAACTATTTCGCAAAATTGGTCGATTGTCCTTCAAAATTATGTAATTTTCAATTTCTTATGTTTATTAATAATACTTTTTCCGAAATATCATCGTTTTAGCTTGAAATATCAATGACATTTATTTTACATAATAATTTATATATTTTTGAATTCGTAATTGAATGTTGACTCAAGTGTGTTTGCTAAAAAAAATTCACATGTAGTCAAGTATAAAGAAAGTGATATAAATCGTTATCTATTGAATATTTCATTCTTATTTTTTCTAATAATGAATGTATAGTGAATGTGTAAAGAAACAAATTGCACCTGTAGGTTTAACGTCCCCAAGTTTTGAAATATTGAGGTTAGTTACGTATCAATGCGTCGACGTTTAACAAAGAATATGTATGCTTTGTAGAAATAGTATCTCATATAATTGATATTCTATTCGCATGAAGCTTTGGTTAGTAAATATAAATTTAATAAATTTTCTCACATAGATGATAATCTTTTAATTTATAAATAATTATTATAACCGTTTAAAAAATAAAATATTATAGAATAATTAAAAGATGTATGTTTATAAAATATTGATAAAAAAATATGAGATTACGATATTTAGTTTGTAATACATATATACATAAATATTTGATATCTTGGATAATAAGTACGATTTGTTTATTTCATTATTTACACTTTAAATCCTTCCTAAAATATAAGTTTAATTTATTTTTAAATATCAATCGTGGAAAGAAAGAGTGAGAGAGAACTTATTAAAATAAGTTCTGATTTCGAATTCTCTTTATAGATTCGTGCAATTCACGAATAAAAAATGGCGGTCCTCAACATTAGGAGTCCAACTTAAAGAAGGTGGAGATATCATAGCTGTTTCTGCGGTTGATTCCAGGATTCCGAATTCGTTAAAGAAATTCCTCGAGGGTGGAGATGACCTTGTGAAAAGTGCTAAAAGGTAATTGTATTTTTCTCCTTGTTTTTATCTTTCACCTATCGATTATAGCAATGTTATCGATAGTTGATAATGGACGATAATGCATAGTGATCGTCGAAAAATATTTATTAAATTTAAAAATAAAATGAAACTAAGAATATTTTATATAAATATTCATGAAATTTTGTTATTTTTTTTCTAATATAAAACGAATCATTTTATTTAATTATTCTTTTACTGGTAATTAATATTCAAATTGTTTTATTACAACAAAATTATTTGTAATATTTCGAGATTAATAACAATTATAATTTTAATTATAAATTTCCATTGAAAATTTCAAGTAATTCTAAAGTAAATAGAAAAAATAAAAATATAAAAGAAGTAAAGATAAAGTCAATTATACTTACGTAATTTGGTCAATAAAAAATTTATAATACGAGATAAGTTACGAGATAAGAAGCGATCATTGAGTTCTATATAAAAAAATTATTCACGATTCAATGACTTTATTATTGCTTATTTTTTGTTTATTTCTTTCTTCGAAAATATATAAAATATCGTTCTCACATAAAAACTTTGTTTCGCCAGGGAAGACGATATCGATTTAATGGCGGCTGTAGAGAGGTTGGTTATTGCACGAAATTTAAGTCCCATCAAGTTTGCATTATACATTCCTGATCATTTTTTTGTTCTTTATTGAAAAACAATTACATTTTGTCTAATTTTCATAAGGAAATCTAAAGTAATTTTTAATTTTCATGACTATGATTATACTCCCTCCCACTCTCCTTCTTTACTTTAAAAAAAGAGGGAGAAAAGTTCTCTTATCGAATCACGTTCATATGCTATCATTGTATCCTTATCACATTGTTTGGCTTTCAGTAACAAACGAGATTTCGATCTTAAAACAAACAACAATGTTTCGTATTACATACAATTGAAAATATATAGACTGTATGGCTATGTTTGCAAGTGCAAAATACAATACCTATCGCCTTACTTATTTCTAATGCCTCTTCGAACGTGAAAAGAATACTTTCTTTTTTGTTTTTGAGTCTTGAGAGCTTCTCTGAGTGCTTTCATATTATAAATTAGTATGCAAATTGTTCACTTCCTTTGTTCTTCGAAAGAAAAATGTTTTTTTTTTTATATTGGACATACGTGTATATCTGTTAAAAAGTGTATATATGTATTTATGATATAATGTATCATGTTTGAATAGAATCGTCGCCGAAGGACGTAGCATAATTCCGGCGGAAGACGTGAATTTTTTGGCACCAATTACGCGTATGGGACAAATTAGCATGCATCGGTTTAAATTATAGCGGACATTGCGAAGAACAGGGCGTATCGCCACCGGAAAGTCCAGTAGTATTCAGCAAATTTCCTAGTAACATTGTAGGACCAACCGATAATGTTATTTTACCTTCAATATCAGAGGTGAGTATAGATTTCGCATAAAAACATTTTTTTAAGATTTACATTTAAAGAAATCTACGTTACCGGCGTGATTGTTGTATTGACTTTATAATTATGGTATAAAATCATGAACAAGTTTTATTCGAAGATATCATCAATATAATTTACATTTAATTAAGATATATAATTAACAAATTAAAGGTCAGATGATTCGAATTTATATTATCAATCAATGACATCGATTCGTTTCTAATGTAAATAATATTTTTTGAAAGACATCCATGAGAAACATTAATGTCTTTAATTATATCCACTAAGTTATATTATATTATGTTCTAAGTTATATTGTAACTTTTGAAAGTATCAATATCAACATTTGAGTAGTCAGAATATTTTTAGTCGTTGAGATTATGTAACTTATTAATATGTTTTTGATTTAATTATATCAGATATCTTTTTTAATATTATAATGTCTCGTTTGTTAAGTTTGTTTGAGAGATAAGAAAAAGATAATAATATGATTTCAATCCAATGATTTTTTTATTTGTTTCACATAGAGTAAAGTAAAAAATTAATAAAATAGATAAAAAATAATAAACAAAGTAATAATTGGTTTTATGATTTTAATAATAAATATAAAAGTATTTAATTATATAAATTGTATAAACTTTATGATCTTGTAATTAATATTTTTTAAGAAATATTTCCATCTAATTAAAATTCTACTTACATATAAATTCGTTTATTGTATAAACGTTATTAAATATAAAATAATTTCAATTTATAGATAATTGTTATCCTCTAAAAAATACAATATTACAAAAATTATAATATATTCAAGAATATTAATATTTATCAATCTTTTCAATATAGAAGGTCGATTGGGAAGCTGAACTTGCTATAGTGATTGGAAAGCGATGTAAGACTATCAGTGATAAAGAAGCAGAGGATTGCATTTTTGGGTTCACAATTGCTCAAGATATAACAGCTCGAGATTGGCAGAAATCGAAACGCAATGGTGGACAATTTCTACTTGGTAAAAGCATGGACACATTCTGTCCACTTGGACCTGCTGTTGTGACGAAGGAATCAATATCCGATATTAATAATTTAACGGTGAAAACCTGGGTAAATGGTAATCTCAAGCAAAATGGAAATACCAGTGAACTTATTTTCAAACCTCACGAAATTGTTGCTTATATATCCCAGTTAGTATTATTTTCTTTTCATTTCATAATAGAAATGGAAGGTTTCATGTCAAAGAATATATATGTATTTATGATATAATGTATCTTTGCTTTTAGATTTATGACTTTGTTACCTGGAGATGTAATACTTACTGGTACTCCAGCAGGTGTAGGATTCACGAGAAAGCCACCGGAGTTCTTGAAAGTATGCTGAAATAAATTTCTTATTTCATTAAATAATTAAGAAAGAAATTATTTTCTCAAACTTTAAGACCTTAAACTTTGTTTTCTCTTTTACAGCGTGGAGACGTTTTGGAAACAGAAATTGGTAATCTTGGACGTTTGAGAAACAAAGTATTGTGATTGATGAAATGTAATTATTTGCGTCGAACGAAACAGAGATGTCTTTTAATTAGTAAATGGAGAAACATGTGCTTTCTCGATTCATTTACGTATGTCAAACTCGAATCGTATCGATGATTTGTCACAGATAGATCAGAAATGTTTACGGACATGACAGAGAGCTGAACTTTATGAATATATGCGTAGCCATGCTACTTAAGAAAAATTGCATCGATATACCTTTTTAGAAAGAAAATATTAAGTCGGGCAAACCATGAAATCCGTGCGGAACCCATGCCTTTTAAATGTAATCATTCAATTTCGCTACTTTTATATACATTATGCATTTTATGTATTTGTACACTAAACATTAAAGAAAAACTGTTTCTACAGAATCGATTCGATCTCATTATCTTAATAATTAAATTTAAAGTTTACATTTAACACGTAACTTGTAGAGTTATCATCAATGACGTATCTATAAACTACGAAGTTGATATTTCACGAACATTATCGTTACCTACTGTTGGTATATTCAATTTCATCCATAAAAACAATGTGCTTGATAAAATCCATATCAGATGGCATCACTAGTAACTGTCAACAAAAATATATATATATACAAATATATTAATGTATAATAAAATATAATAAATATAATAAATAGGACGAATAAAATATTAACAAAGACACTATTATTATTTCGAGCCAGTTTCACTGGTTAAACGTTTAATCTTGAGATATATTTTATATGTCAGCAATTCTACCGAAACATTTCTAAATTCAGTAATGAATTTTATTCTTCACATAATTAAATCTTATTGGACCCTTTCGCTGATCGAGAGAGCGTAGGAAAAAGAACAGAAGGTACTGATGAAGCTGAAAGTTCATGAAAAGTCAATCGACTTTCGAAGTCAACCCTCGAAAAATCGATCTTTGGGGAACATTTCTCGAGCCTCCCGTTGTCCTCAACAATGGATCGTTCGGTGGTACCTAATTCGCAACAATGGTTCTAGTGGCCATATATTAATAGTCACTCGTATATATATATACAGTAAATGGTAGAACAGGATGGGCATTGTTGCATAGGTCGGAAGGGCCGATATCGAACATTTCGAGTTCCGTATCGCGTTTCTACGAATTGCTTGTTCACCAGAGGACAGATGTCACACTCGATATTGTGAATGATAAATGACTCTTCAAAGATCCATCGTATTCACGTTTGAAATAATGATTTAGATGTCTTAGCACGGTTATGAAATGAATTTTACACGAGTATGAAACAAGTAATTTTGGAAATAGCAGCATCGAAAAATTGTATGTTTATTTTAAAGATCGTACTTTTTCAAATTCTAAAAACGAACGAAGATCGTTAAGTTATATGATTCGTCTTGTATATTATTTACTAAAAAAAAAAAAAAAAAAAAAATATTAAAATATTCTGATTAAGAGAAAGAAAAGTTTGTTCAATGATGGTATAATTACAATCAATAAAGCATCTCACATATATGGATATATATTAATATTTACAATGAAATCAATTTACTCGAGATAAAGAAAAAAATAATGTAAAAAAAAAACAAATTTCTATTTTCTTGTACTTCTCGTAATATTCTACCACTTACCCGTCTCCGCTTCGTTGAATAGATTCGAAGAAAATAATTATTGTCCTCCCGTAATTACGTCGATGCTTTGTAAGTGGCCGGATAGAACACGATGGACGAGAGAGATTTCTTAATATTCAATTATTCTCACGCGAGGAATACGTATACATACGTAGATACTTACATACATACTTATATACATACGTATATACGTACACATAGATATGTCTATATAGAGTATATAGTATACGAGATTTGCGAGATCATTTGAATCAGTGATGTATACCTAGCTACCTATTTGATGGCGCATAATGTAAAAAAAATGGAGGGTGGAGTTGTAAGAATAAGGGAAAGGGTATGTTTTCTCTACTTACATACACAAGTTTCGCTATGCTTCATTCGTCGGTTTCGTAGTCACCGTAATTAGGGAGCGCGTAACAAACGGCCAACTATTATTCCACGATGGTATAATGACCGCGTGCCAGCGGGATGTTTGCCTTCAATTTGGTGAGCTTATCGTCGCCGTTATCGGCCGATTTATTGACCGAGCCCGGAGAAACGGCTTGCTCTAGGAAAAACACGCCTCGTGCCACGAAACGCCACGCATGAATTCATTGGGATTACGAAGGGGTGATCTTATCTGGTCCTCCATTAAGAAACATCGTGACGTTACCAACCTCCCACCCTCTTCTTTTCGATCCACCATCATATCTTTATAGCAAGTAAGTAATCACGTAGATGTCTTCGTATGTTGTTCGTTTCACTCTTTTTTTCTTCCTTTTTTTTAATTTGGTCTTATCCTTATCTTATTATAGATTCATTTTCATTTAATTTCAATGATAAGATTGAAGAATTAAGATTTTAAATCTTGGAAAATAATTCTTGTTTCTTATTTATTTTATTTTGTTTGTGTACGTAGATGGATACCAACAGTAAACTTTTATTGATTTATTAATATATGCTAATTTATATTAATGTGTTTCTTTTTCGTAATGTTTCTTTCTTTTCTTCTTTTGATATCGATATTTATAGATAATTAAGTGTTCCCTTTTTCTTATCTTTTATCTCATCAATTTTTTTATTTCCTACTTTATAAATAGATATTTCTAACAGAGCGAGCGCATGCTTCATTCAATCAAATAAATATGCATATGAAAAATTTAATTAATTGTTTTGTGAATATTTAGATAAATTATCAAAAAAAAGATTTTTTTTGGTTCACTAACGAACTGGAATTTTCATTCGAACACATACAATTCACCTTATATGCATATGTACAAGATATATTGTATGTACATATGTATGTCTCATGTATGGTTATATACCATAGAATAGAACAATAACGATAGCGTTCTGATGAAGCGACGGAAGCGACGGCTTACGCGGTACGACTAGACCTGTCCACAATACCAACGACAATGGACGCAAACTACGGTCAATAAAGGCCGACCTTATGACTCCGTCACGACGGAAGCTCTTTCCGTCGACCTGTAATTCGATTTTCGAAAGGATACCAAACGATTACGGAAACTGATTAACGAGATAACCAATGATATTATTAGAACAAAGCTGATTAATGATAATGAACAATCAGTAAGATAATGATTTTGATAATTAACATTTTACAAGAAGAAAATTCCAAAAGAAGAAAATAAATAATGAATGTTCTCTAAATTTGTCAAATCTTGATTCTTATATTTTATCATTTAAATTAAATGAAAATGAAGAAACAATAAGAAAGAAACCATGATAATTAATATTATAAAAGAAAAAAAATTAATAATACATGTTCTCCAAATTTTTGAGATCTTAATTCTGAAGTATTATCATTTAATATTAAATGAAAATGAATAAATTATAATAAAGTGATTTTATATAACTTGTGAACAATTAGGTAAATTGTTTGAAATATAAAAAAGAACATTTTTTTCAAAGTCCACTTCTACATTCTAATAGAATATTTAAATACATGTAAGATAATTAACAGTACACATAGGCGAAACAAAATTACAATAAAAATTACAAAATAAGATGAATAAGAAAGAAGATTACTTTCGAATATTATACATTTTTTCATAAAAAAGTTGAACTATTACGAAGTGAATAAGTATGTCCATATAAAAATAATTAATGAACTCTCAATTTGTTATTTTGATGAATATTTTTTTAAGACATCAACTCGAATATTTTATCTTTCAAATCATCTTGAAAAGTAAAATGAACGTGTTAAGATAAGAAGTATAACAAACTGCTAATTCTTCATGGAAGCTAACGAAGGTGGCTACCTATCTGAAGAACACGCAGCAAACGTGTACTAATGGCGTTTCGATTAGCCACGATGCGGATCGAATGCCGCAGGCTAGGCATCGTTGCACCTGCCGATTGGCTTCCTTTTCCTTTCTGACGTCCAGACTGCAGCTGAACGATTTCGATCTTTCCCTGATTACTGTAGTTATTAGTTGTTGGTGTCCTTCCGTGACTGATAGTCTTCACGTTCTCCTCGCTCGACAACATTTTTTTCATTGTAATTCTCGAGTGATCGTTTCATTCGATATTCGAACAAAAAAGAGTTTAGGGTAAACAGTTGAATTATCTATTATCATGACAACAGTGATTACTTTTTGTCTTTTCAATTTAATATTAAAGAATTTTATAATATTTATTGTTTATTTTATTATTGTTATCGTTGTTATTTATGCGTGTTTTATTCGTTTTTTAGTTGAATATTCAATAATATATGTGAAAAGTTTACAAGAAAAGGATCCTATATATAGGATATACTATAATTCAGAAACGATTTTGTTTAGCTTCGTTGTTAAAAGGATAGGTCTTTTAGTTAGGATAGATTTAACAAAAGAACAGAACGTGGCACGGTTTCTCAAAAGTATCTAAATGAGTCGTTCAAGAATGAAGCGTGAAAACAGCGCTTGAATAAGGGCGCAGTTCCAGTTTCGGAACAATGGAGAAAACTAAGTGGTTGGGTATGGTTCTCAACGGGTGGTATACTAACGGCAGGGGTTTTCAAATTTTTCAGGATATTTGAAGAATTCTTTAAAGTTATACAAAAATTTTTTGCACATGTCAATATAACTATTCAAATAAATCTTCTGATTTATTTTTATCATTAACTGATTTATCGTTAAAATTTGTTATTTAGATGGACTTTTCTAAAATCATGTTTATTTGATCGAATGGGAAAATTGATCAAATCCTTTTTAAGGTTCTCGAGATAATAAATAGTCTGCACTTACTTAGAATCGATTTGTGCAGTTGTACACAGAAGGGGCGGTTTTTGGTCAATCGACAGTTTGGAAACCCCTGTGCTTCTAGGATATATCGAACGACAATGTCAAAAGTCAATGGTACCCTGTTATTCGGGACATTATGGGACATCGTTCATCACGTCTCACGACAGGGAAGCTGGACGTCCGTATGTTCTTGCCAATTCTGTGGAAACCATCAACCTCGCGACTCTATCTTTTTCAAGAATGAATTACATTTTAAATCAGTAGATAGGGACTAGTTGATCGATACTTAACGAGTTTCGTTACGGTATCGATTTTAAATATAAAGGATGATTTTGATAATCTTATGGTACGATGATTTAAACTTCATTTCTCTTAGAAAATTCGATTTTAAACATTAAACAGCAACATTAGAGTGTCCGGATGGTTTCATCGATAATAATTAAAAGAATAAAAATAGGAACAATTTATATCTAATTAAAAATCAGCGAACTGTTCACCATATTTGAATGATAAGAATGAGGATTGCCTATAAAAATGGAAAAA